CAGGCGACGCGGCTTCGAGGTCTCCCTCCACTGCCACATCGCTGGGCGCCTCAGGATTACTTAGGCTTGAGCTGACAGCCACCGGGTAGATTGCACTGCCTGCCTGAAACCAAAAAAATGTGGAAATCATGTGATATGAAGTTGAAACATATCATCCCAATTTAAATAAACTGTGAAGAAATATTGGATTTTTCTAAGAGGCATTTGGAGCATTTGATGGGCCACTGATTCTAGCATTATAAAGCATTAACCATACTTACCAGACGTGACTAGTTTAACTGTTGACTAACCACCACTGACTAAAATTATCACATGGCTGGTGGTAATCGTAGATTAGTAAGCACTTTGTATTCGCCTGTCATGTTTAAATTTGTCACCCCGATTTACTTAGAAGACTAACAAATCTTAGTCAAAGGGGTACAACTACTGTAGCAGGTTAGTATACACAAGTGCTGATTGTTGGGCGAGTTGGTATTGTACGTGAAAAAACATGAATGCGCTTTAAAACAAGGACAGAGGAAGAACGTACACCACAGAGTGCTACACCACATTAGCTACTCAGCACCACAGCAGACCCACATGACCGCCAACCCTAACTGCCGAACTTCGGCAAATATGCAAATATTTTTGCCGAAGTGCTCTGCCAGAATAAAATTGAATGTGTGTTTTATTTAAACATGAGAAGAACAGTACACAAGGACGACAACAAAGAAAAAGAACACACCCAAAAAGAACACACCGAAAAAGACACGCTCAAACGCCTTGTGTGTCCTACTCTAATTTATTTACTCGAAGTATACCCTCAATTTTCTCTGGAAAATGAACGAACACCACACACGCACAAAGAAAATATTAAAATCAAGAACCTCATTTCAAGTGCCCAAATGCGAACAAGAACATCAAAATAATATATCTGACTACGCTTACCTGCAGTTGCGTCCAAGGTAGCAGGCATCCAGTACCCTCGACGAAATCACCCTACAACGTTGACGCAGTAGGAAAGAAATATATTCAATCAACTTCAAATAATGCAAACTTGAGCCATCTGACTCGCCTACTGAATGATCAGCTTTTAAAAATGCCGCCGCAAAAAAGAAAATGCCAAGACAACAATATACTTGCTAGTCTCTCTGCCGACAATAACTTAATGACCTTATTCAGTAATATACTACTATTAATGTTTGCGAAGCGCACAAATAATTTCTAACTGCCGAATGTTGAACTTCGACAAATATGTAAATTTTGTTGCCGGAGAACTTTGCCAGATTAAAATTTAAAATTGAATGTATGTTTTATTTAGACATGAGAAGAACAGCACACAAGGACGAAAACACAAAAAAGAACACCGAAAAAGACGCACTCAAGCGCCTTGTGTGTCTTACCCTAATTTATTTACTCGAAGTATACCCTCGATTTTCTCTTGGAAATGAACAAACAGCACACACACAAAATAAACATAAAGATGAAGAGCCCCATTTCAAGTGCACAAATGGGAACAAGAAAATCAAAATAAAATATCGAACTACGCTTACCTGCAGTTAACAGTGTTAAGAACTGTCACGAGATGAGTCCAAGGTAGCAGGCATCCAGTACCCTCGACGAAATCACCCTACAACGTTGCCGCAGGACGAAAGAAATATATTCAATCAACTTCAAATAATGCAAACTTGAGTTATATCTAACTCGCCTACTGAATGATCAGTTTTAGAAATGCCTGATCACACGCAAAGAAAATGCCAAGACAATATAATTGCTAGTCTCGCTGCCGGTAACACCTTCATGACCTCATTCCGTAATATATACTACTATTAATGTTTGTGAAGCGCACGAATAATTAGCTCAGACATTTATATTCAGTATTTCATAACGTGACATTTTGCCAAACTAATTATTAAACCTCGTTAAATTAAAAACAAACAAACAAAAACGTTGCTATTAAAAATCAGTGTTCAACACTGACTTTTACAAATATCAACGACGTTGAGAATTAATCGCGCCTGTTGGCCGGTGCCGCCAATGAATGCCTGATCGACTACTGCTCTGCGAAAAAAAAAAATACACCAACCACCTTATGAGATTCTCAAATATTTGATCAGATCCTCACTTTAACGTCCGACGCGACACACCAACGGCCCCAAAAAGAGAAAACCTTCTACCCCCCCACGCCTTAAACCTAGGCGACCCCCGATTCAAAAGGCGTCTTGTCGCCCGGCCGCCCGGCTCGCCGAACCGCCGCTCTCCCCCTTCCTCCACCCGCACACACATACACCGGGAAAAGCTGCTGGTTACGCCACTGGTTAGCGAATGTCAACCTTCTAAATATGCGCTAGTGCAAGCGACAGTCATTTCTGTTCTTGCTCTTTATGAATTTCGATGGTCTAAACCGTGTCTGCGTTTGCGCCACACACTAATTTTATCGAACGCTCGACGCCTTCAAACATGCCAACATGTCCGCCAAGCCTTTGTCTAAGGAAGACTGAGGTCGCCTTCCCGGGCGGTCATAACCGACGCCAACTGCCGTCCGCGCAGAATATTTCCTTACCTGCATACGGTGCACACGACTTGGATCTTCGACTGAAGTCAATGCATTGCTCTCAGTGACCTCGTAAGAAGAGACTGAGCCGAACAGAACAATAAGGAACGTTCCTGCGCAGGGACGCCTCCGTCGAACGTTCGAGAAGAAAGACCGTTATGCCGTTATGACCGAGACCGTCGGCGGGGAAGGCGCCGACGCTCCCGGTCGGCCCGGCGAGAGCTCTCCCACGCATGCACGAAGAATGACGTGTCAAACGAGGAGACCAATTAGCGAACTGGTTTGCGCCTTTCCACAGCCAATCGCAGCGCCCAGGCTTTGGCAGTGCTCGAACACGTGCACCCTCTGGGAGGCAATATTTACCTCTTTGGTGCCCCTTCGAGGCGAACTTCACCTTGTAGCACCGCATTCCTAGTGTCCGCTGCGCCTGAGGAGGTAACAAGCGGAGCGCTTCCCCCCTGGCCGGGAGGAGGGTGGTAAAGGTGGTCTGTTACCTCCTTTTGGTCCCCTTTTTTCTAAGAGTGAATGTGCTCGTTCACACGTACCGCTTCACGTGCGACCACGATGACGTCTAGACTCGCGAAAATAGTTTGAGTGTTGACCATAAAGTGGAGTTTCAGTTGAAAGCCAACATCATCATCATCACCATTAGCCATTCAGCGTCGTGTTCTCCATCTCCCGCCACATTCTACGAATCAAAACGCAGGCGAGCTTGTGAACATTCATAACTAAGAAATAAAACCTTAAGACAAGGAAACAAAAAGGGACATACACATTACCGTCTTAAAACCAGCACAGCATACAGCTGTCATTTACTGCCATTTACTTTATTTACTGTTGAATATGTATAATTTGGATGGAGGTTGACAAAGAAAACTGCTGTGGAAGTAAATGAGAGCTGTACGCTGTGATGGTTTTGAGACGGTACTGTGTACGTCCCTTTTTGTTTCCTTGTCTCAAGGTTTTATTTCTTAATTATGACTAAAATAGACGCGAATTATCATCATCACCAATTACGCGTTCGTCCATCGCTGGATTTGTTTCCAATATGCTGCTCACTTTTCCTTCAGTGGTGCTTGGCGTGCTTTCGGAAGTGCCGGCAGTATCCATCGTCCGTGGTTTCGGTTTTTTTCGGATTTGGCTCGGCAACAACACCGGCAGTGAAGTGGTCTTCTCAAACAGCTCGCTCCCCCCTCAAAGGCCACGTGAGAGCGTTTCTGAGCGGCCATTGGCGGCGCCCTTAGAGTGATAGACAGGACTCGGCAAAGTTTCAGCAAAAGCTCGCTCCAGAAGCTTGGTGTGCGCGCAACTTTTTTTAGATGCGCGCGTCCCTTTCGGACTCGTTCAGACGGCGCAACCATTTCGCAAAACTACGTTTCGCGACACTAGATGCGCGAGAAAAATGCATCGTGTGAACGGGCCTTTACTTGCTAGCGGCCTCCCGGCGACCTAAACTAGCCTAACTTCCTATCCTACCACTTCCCTAAATCTATGCAAACTATTTCATACACACCAGAACAAGATCTACAAAGGGAACGCCAAATACTAGGGTGCCTCAATGTCCTTCTGTTTAGGGTGATGCCACCCTTTGTAGTACCAGATGCCGACAGCACGCGCTCACGGGGAAAATACAAAGAAATCGACGAAAACTAAATGTCGCCATAGCACAGCCACAAGTGCGTGCAGGGACACGCTCTTTCACGCGCTTCTGAACAAAAAATAAAAATAAACGTGTGACAAAATGGCGAGATGCCACCACCCTAAGCAAAGCGCACATGAAGGCACCCTACCAAATACACTTAGCTTTTTTTTTATAACGTGTTTTTTTAGCCTGTGCATCGCGCCGAATGTTCATTCTCCGCCCAAATGAAACGCTAAACAGGAAAATGACGGCCGACGTAGAGCTACATTTGGGCGAACAATGAGCAATGGGCCATGCATAATTTGTTTACATAATGTAGCGCATGCTATTTAAGGTGTTAACTTGTCTTTTTGTGTAAAATTACTGTTTTAGTCACCCCCCCCCTTTTTATGGGTTACGTCCCAATCCGGCTGAAGCCTCAATTCGGTTAGAAGTTTGAATTCGGCTGGACGTTCCAGTTCGGCTACATCCTCAATTCAGCTAGAAGCTTCAATTCGGCTGGAAGTTTCAATTTGGCTGGACGCTTCAGTTCGGCTAGTACTTTCAATTCGGCTGGACGCTTCAGTTTGGCTAAATCTTCAGTTCGGCTACAAGTTTCAATTCGGCTGCATGCTTCAGTTCGGCTAGATCCTTGTTTCAATTCGGCTGGACATTTCAAGTTGATCAAGCTAGACATCCAAGCATAAGGTGCCCCCAATTCTTTTTAGAGAGACGTTAACTATATCTGCGTCTTGCCTTAACATTGCAACCTGTAAGCTCAGATCAATAAGTTCAAGTAGCTACGAAGGCTTTGGGCACAGAAACATATGTGTTTGTGTTGTTTGTTCTGTGGAGCGGCTGTGCAAACACCAGGTCTCTGATTCAAAGCAATTTATTTACTTGCCCAAAGAATGCATTACAGCAGTCCAAAGATTGCTTCTTCCAGTGCTGGCCACTGTTCACGTGAAAGGGACAGGACGCCTTGGCAGCTCCTACGTCAAACTGAGTTGAAGAAAAAAAGAAGATACCTGCATCAGTTATGAGACAAAACAATGTGGCAGGGGTTCAATCCAATGATTTACATCTTCAGGAGGCTAAGAGGAATGTAACAGTAGACCTGTAATTTTTTTCAAGGTCACAAATTTGCCTCGAAATTGGCTAAACACACCAGTAGCTATGACTGACCTCGTAGCCAAAGCCTTACGTCCGCAAAAAATTGTTTGGCGACATTTCATTTTCAAATTCGATCCTAATCGTATTTTCAAAGTGAAAGCTTCTATTGGCAGTGTTAAAAATATGTTAAGATGGAGGTTTGGGCAAGCTGGTGTTGCATACTCCTCCACAGCGCGAAACATTCGCAACCAGGCACAGGCACACACAAAAGGAAAAGACATTCATGAAGCACTGACTTGCAACTCAGACTTGTATTTTTTCTTCTCCACCTGCGCCTGTCTTTTTAAACAATAAGACATTTTTTTTTGTTATTTTTGGTTTCATCTGGATGCAAGATAATCTAATTCTTTTTTCTAATAAATTTAGACAAGTTTTAGTGACACAATTTTCTTCTTACCTCAAAATCTTTTCAATAATTTCCCTAATTACTTGATTATTATTTTTACCTATTACGGGGTAGTTTTTTTTTTAGTTCTGCTTGACATCTGCAATCTTGGCAATGTATGCCTAAGTGTCCAGAAGTGATTCTGTTTATGCTGTAGTTGTGTTCCCCTAGTCTATGTGACATCAGTATATGTGACGTTGGGGGTGGGGAGGGGTTGGGCTTTGCCAGTAGAACTTGTTTCCAACTGATTAGAAGAATTTCGATGGCAACAAATGAAGCCTGTGCAACCCCAACGTTTCCTCAGCAGCACGAAAGAAATATGTTCCATTCTGTTCTCTGATGTGGTTGTGCTAGCCATGCTCCAAACAAATAAGAGTTTAGAACAAACCATTTGGGCTTCGTAAAGTTAAGAGGGGTACAGTTTCTATCATAAAGGAAGCCACTAGCCCGCAGATTTTGCGGGACAAGCGAAGGCAGCGGAACTTTCTAGATTTCACCCTTCACTCCGCACAACCATGCCGCGCAGCACGTTTCTGTGGCACCTACGGCTGTGAGTAGCAAGTATGTCAGGGAGCCTTTAAAAAGGAAGGGGGTAAAACAAACTTTTTCAGTGACCGAATCGAGGAGACTGATAGCTTAATGTACCGACACCTGGATAAGTAACCCTGGTTTGCAAGTTTTGTCGTGGGAGAGTTGGTATTAACTAGGGTGCACTGCAAGTTGTAGAGCATCTAGAGTCAGACCGCCATATTCAGCTCAAGAAACCTCATCTAGGCACAGGCAAGTCCTTCTGTAATCATTGAGACTACAAATTAATTAATACACTTGTGTCTGGTTACTATTTCTGTTTCTTTTGACTTTCTGAGAATTGGGAAAATCAGCGAGCAAATTTAATATCTGAATTATTCTGAAAAACTGAGAATTTAATCAAAACAAGCTCTGAGAAACATCAAATTTTCGACAAAGGTAAGCTCCGGAAAACACCCTCCAAATGCCACAAAGGATCAATTCTGGAAACACGGAATGCCGCTTATAGTGATGCTGCTATATGTCACGCCAGGGGTAGCCAGGCAGGCTCTGGTGCAGCTTGGTTATGACCTTCCTCGCAAAGGGAAGTTTTGGCATTGCATATGAGGCGATACTTCCCCAACTCTAGAGGTTACCTTGGCAGAGTAATGGAAGTACCCATACTCACAAGTACGGTAACTGCCCAGGCCACCTTGGAAGGTCCTCAGCACAAGGCAGGCACCACCATCTGTCGTAGGTATGACGTGCTGCAATGTCTGATGACAAAAACTGCAGCGAAACAAAACATATTTTCCTGTGAAACAATATCCATAGCTGCAATCTCCGTACCAGCACATTGCATGGGTAGCTAATCTAATTGTGCACTTCTTTCTACATTAGAAGCACAGTTTAGCCTGAAGGCGTCAGCATATTTCGGTTACAAGTATAAAAAGTCACTCATACAGATTTACGTCGAACAAGCATATTTTACCACCATACCTCGGCAAACCTCACTCATGAGGGCCCTCACTCACCCTCACTCACCCTCATCCTCACAGGTGAGGTGAGGGTGAGTGAGTCTCTGAACCAGGAAAATTCATGAGTGTGAGGGTGAGTGAGGGCCGTGAGGGCGGTGAGGGCCGTGAGGGCTGTGAGGGCGGTGAGGGCTGTGAGGGCGGTGAGGGCCATGAGGGCCGTGAGGGCGGTGAGGGGTATGAGGGCCATGAGTGCGTGAGGGGCGTGAGGGCGGTGAGTGGCGTGAGGGCCATGAGCGCGTGAGTGGTGCGAGGGCGGTGAATGCGTGAGGGGTGTGAGGGCCATGAGTGCGTGAGGGCAGTGAGTGGCATGAGAGGCGTGAGGGCGGTGAGTGCATGAGGTGGTGCGAGGGCCATGAGTGCGTGAGGGCGGTGAATGCGCAAGGCCCCCTTCAGATCGAGCATCTTTCTCAGCAATTTTAGTGTTAATGACGGGTTGTTCTCTAGCTTTCCCTAGATCGACACGAATTGCTGAGGTCGGGTCCGGCTCGAAATAAGCAAGCAACTCGGAGCAATTCGAAAACGTTTGAAGCGGCTGCATCCAATCAGGGAAGCAAAATATTCATGTGATACCTTGTGCCGGTGATGATGACACCGAAAGACTTGGTTCTGGTTTGAAATCAATCGTTTTTTGGAAATAAACAGTTTCAGAAAGGTGCATTAGTATTCTTACGAGATTTAAATGCATAAAAAAACGTTTATAACGCATAATTGTGTCTAAATACTGCAAGAAAAATAAAATTTGATGATGAAAACCCGTGTTGCTGGTGTTGCGACGTGAAGTTTCTGGGCGAAATTGCCCCATCTGAAGCTGGCCTGAGTGGCGTGAGGAGCGTGAGGGGTGTGAGGGCCGCAAGGGCGGTGAGGGGCGTGAGGGCAATGAGTGGCGTGAGGGCGGTGAGTGGCGTGAGGGCGGTGAGGGCCGTGAGGGCGGTGAGTGGCGTGAGGGCGGTGAGTGGCGTGAGGGCGGTGAGTGGCGTGAGGGCTGTGAGGGCCGTGAGGGCAGTGAGGGCGGTGAGGGCAATGAGGGCGGTGAGGGCAGTGAGGGCGGTGAGGGCCGCGAGGGCGGTGAGTTTCGTGAGGGCCATGAGTGAGTGAGGGGCGTGAGGGCCGTGAGGGCGGTGAGGGGCGTGAGGGCCGTGAGGTTCAGTGAGGGTGAGTGAAGGGCTGAAGGTGAGTGTAGCTGTGAGGGTGAGGGTGAGTGAGGGGCTTAGGTGAGTGTGGCTGTGAGGGTGAGTGAGGGCGACCTAAAATGCTGACCTCTGTTTACCACGCCCGTGGCTGTGGCAGAAAATACTAAGAAAGGCGAGATAAATCGACGATTGCATGCTTCAAATGGTCAGAAATGGGAAGAAAGTGCTCTAGACACTTTCCTCCGATTTCTCTTCCTGTGAATAGCAAGGTCGAGGGAGCCCACCAGTGGTGCAACCGGTAGTTTGTACGCGGTGCTTGAACGTGATTAATTTACAATGTTTGGATACCATCATTTCAGTCATGTTGTGATTATATCGATACCTAAAGAACTGTCAGACACCGATTGAAAAAAATTGTCCCGGCTCATTCACGGCTTTGTCAGCTTTGGTTGCTCCCATTACGGAATAAAGGGTTTGTTCACCAAATAAACGACGCACTCCCGAGCTTTATCCAGTTCATTAATGAAGGCTTTGTTCCTGTTCGAAGCTAGATCTTTGCTCAAAAAGCACTTCGAAATTACAAACAAATCTACATCGACTCTCAGCAACCCTCATCTCATTGGATTGCAGTGCAGTTTTCGCCCAAAGGAGCCACAAGTAACGACTCTTGAGAACAAAATAGTTATCTATAAAAGCTAGACACAATGCAATGCATGGTTCCGGCATTCGAGCACAAGGTATTTGAAGGTCTTTCGGAGAACGCTACAAAAGCTTAGTATTCCTACAAGAGTTTAAACGTAAAACAATTTCAGTTTTCCTCGTATCTGCCTGAACTGGGCGGAGCCACCCGAACGACTCGACGTTAGCAAGATCCAAAGCATCTGTCGCAAACTGCTGTGTGCAGCACGCCGGAGCAGCCATCTTTCCGACTGTTTGCACACTGGCTCACATTGTTTCGACGCACATGTGTCTTGCATTTAACGTTTTGAAGGCAGCCTTTCAATTCTAAGAACAAAGGGTCAAGTGCTAGCCTGGCTGTCACTAACACTGTTCACAAACACAGTTGCTCAATGCGAAGTGTAAACAAGTATGCCCATGACATGCTGGAAAGGACAGCCTGCCGCCTGGGCAGTACGGCCACGCATGTCCAATCAAAGCTCGCAGGATGCTGTACATAGACTGCGCGACACTGTTAAGCACTAGGCACAACAAAGAAATAAATGCACCTTGATCCTACGAGAAAACTCGGATGACACAGGGTACAAAGAGACCTGCGAAGCGTGTAACTGGGTTCATGAGCTTTTAATCACTCCCGTGACACACACCTGCACACAATGTGTCGTCCGAATTTACCCATTGGATCAAGGTACATTAAATTTTTTTTCCGCTGCCAAATGGAAGGGAAGGTGCGACAACACTATTTTTTGTCTTACCCTAGCATGAACTAGCTGGTAATGGTACAATCACAAGCGAGTTGCTTTCACTGGTGTCCCTCCTGCTCGAGCTCTCGTACAACCAAACAGCAATTAAACGCAGGGCGCTCGCTCGCACTTGTAACCACTCCGGCTAGGCCATGCTAAGACGCGACAAACCATGGCAGGAAGCCTGCCACTACAGCATGTCGGCCACCGGGCATGACTGGCGAGTGCAAGCACCACGTGAGTCACATGAATGTCCCTCAAAAGCTGCGTGACTTAAAGGGGCCCTGCAATGACTTTTTGACTGTTTTTTTATTTGCACTGAACCTGAGCGTACTGAACGTAGTAACTTAATCCAACTTTTCTTTTCTCAAATTTCGCTTTATTTTAAAAGTTATAGGCAAATTAAAATTACAAAAACAAGCAAAAAATAACCTCCTTCATGACGTCGTAGGTCCTGGCTTGAGTGGCCTTGAACTAGAGGAGGAGTAGTGAGCTCATCGAGCGCACACGGCTGCCGCACTCCGTGTCGACGGCTCGAGAGGGCGCCACTAAAGCACGTGTTGGATAGGCTGTATGAAGCGGGCGGCCAGGGCAGCTCGCATTGCATTTGCAGCGCGACTAAACACTAATTCGGCATAACATTTCATTGGCCACAAACGACAGCAAACACGGAGTAAAGATCAGTTCAGAACGGGAGCCACTTCGCGCTGACGCACCGCCAAATGGCCAAATCGCCAGCAGGGCCCGCGCCGAAGGCCTTCGGAACGCTCGGAACCGGTCGGATTCTTGAGCCGGTATACGACCACAGCGCCGCCGCGTACATCCGGGACCTTTCTACGCTCCTCGTTTCTCGTAGCCTCATCCCACTAGCCTTTTCTAGTATGCGCCGTTTTTTTCCGCCGCTTGGTAGCGGGTATGTCGACGGGTCATTTCTCGTTTCCGTACTTTCTAAACTGCATTTGTTTCTTTTCTGATCTAAAATGGTGAACAAAAACTACTTTCATACATAATTGAAACGGTTCGCGACACTTATATTTTGTATCTCGACTAAAAAAAAGCTCTTAGCGGCTTTGACCAGTGGCAAGCCCAGGACCAAAGACGTCACATTTTGCGCGCTTTCGGTACCGCGGGTCGCCCTCGTCGGTGGAGGAGGTTTCCGCGTCGTCCGGTTAAAATATGACGCACTGATATTTAGTTACTCTCTCCGTGCCCGCAGGCTTGCCCCAACCCCAAGAGACGTGGAAACCGCAAAAAAGGTAGACGCTTAAATATGATTGCAGGGCCCCTTTAAAAGAACCCAGATGAAACGCCCTTCGTTGTGCCATTCAGTGGTGCAGGCGTAGAACATCGGGCTCTTAATCAAAAGGCTGTGGGCTCGATCCCCTATAGGGGAGGCATATCATTGATCTTCTTTCACTAGCTTTATTAAGTGAACCCTGTATTTGCTTTTATTCTATGTTCTTCTTATTCGATGTGGTTCCATGACCGACAGGGTAATCCATGTCTATCTACAACAACTGCATCGGTCATTGCGTGCTCTCAACTCTCGATATATAACACACCGTATGATAAAATGAACATCCCGCAACGCTTACCATAGGAACCGTCACTGGCATCACTAACAGTGACAAGGTGCAATGCAATATCGCATCGCTTCGGTCTAGCCCAGCGAGAAAAGATTGCGCGATCTGTCAGCTGCAATCCATTGGGAAGCAAAATGGCCTCTCTGTATGTTTCGATTGAATCAATGCTGCGTGCTGACTCAACGTTCTATGTGCGAGCCTAGCAACTGTGTATATCTTTGCTGAGTGAGTACTCTGGGCTGCACTGGAAATTATTTTCTAGCGTGCGTTGTTCTCATCAAGGAGAGCCTCAAACTATCACCGTGCTCCTAAATAGCATGGATGCAGCGCAGCGTTCAATGTGAACTCTTTCGTACGCTACAAAAATATTACTGTCTACTTCCGCAAAAAGAGAAAACATTTTCGAAATTTCACTAAAAGCATATTCTGAAAACATGGAACGCTACCTATAGCCACTCCAGTGTATTATATACTACGGCAGGGGTGGCCCGGCTGACCCGGCCTAAGAGCCGCAAACAAAATCACAAACTTTTCAAAAGTCGTGGGGGAGGGGGGGGGGAGGGGCTGATTTTTGTTTAGAGGAATAAACGAAACTCGAACATATTTCGGTCTATCCGAGTCAAAAGCAGTCCAATTGTGCGTAAGCCAGCAGTAGCACAACACTACCAAACCCCAACCTGTTTTTCGATTTAAAACGCGTTTCATTTCTCTTTTAGGGGAAGTGCTCCGGAAGGGAGGAAGGGGAGAGGAGGGTTGAGGGAGGGAGCGGCGAGCCGCACTTTAACACACGGAGAGCTGCATGCGGCTCGCGAGCCGCAGTTTGGCCACCCCTGTACTAGAGCATGCATCACCATGCAGGTTCTCAAGGAGCTTGGGAACGGCCTTTACCTCAAAATTAATTCCTGGCACTGCATACTAGACGATACCTTCTGTAGTCTATGGGTTACCTTTGCAGGGAGATGGATGCATCCATGATCACACGTACGGTGATTGCCAATGTTGCGCATCATCATGAAAGGTCTTCAAGAAGCAGGCAACTTGTCCGGTCGATGGAGACCCACACATATCCTGCATATGTGGGCAAAGTGCCTAAAATTTAATCAAATTACAACTACAACTACTCTCCAAAAGCATCATGGCATGAAAGCTTGTCGCTTTTCATAGATGGGTCTCGCTAGCACAGCCTGGCCTTTTTTGGTTGGCCAGGGCCCCGAGAGTGTTTTGTAGCGGCCCGCCACACACCCTCAAAGTTGAACTTGTGTCGTATTCAAAATTCGAAAGAAATGCCTACTACCCAGAAGGACAGATTTGTAGCAGGGGGTCATGATGTTAGCTCCATAGCCCCCGCAACCCAACCTCCATTATCGCTTACCGTTTTGCCGTCTACTTCCTCGCCCAACATGACTACCCGTCATCCCTTGTGGTTGACTGTTGTTCGTAGGGAAGGACTAGCTGGCACTGGTGGGCTCTGCGCCTCTACTCATCCCAATTCTCAAATAGAGGCTGCGGCTGCCCGGTGACATCCGTCGTCTCCTTCCTTCCTTCGGTAATTTGCTCCGGTTAAGGAACTGTTTCCTTACATATGGTCTTAACGTGTTGAACTAGCTTACCTACTAATTTCAACGGCAATTCATCTTGGAAGTGCCCGTGCAAAGCTGGTGTCGCGATGTGCGGTGATATCAACCGCAGAGAGTGCCTGAAGAATTTTGGAGGTTGCTCAAACCATTTGTGGCTTTGCTGGGACGCACTTTATGACAAACAAATCAGCGGCAAGCGGCTCACAGTCAGATCTTATAAATTGCCAATCGTGACACTTCCCTGATGACTTGCTAAGTGCTTAGATATGGTCAAAAAACTTCCGAGTGAAACATATTTCTTCAGACTACGGATGCGGAAGGCTCTGCTTCTCGGGGCGCGATAACCCAGGTCCCCTCTACAGCCGATCGATCCTTCGGACAGCTCTCGAATGCGTGCTCAGAGTGCCGTCCAGTGTTACTTTGGTAGCATCGGACGGCACTCAGGTACAGCCTGGATTAAAACAGTTCGCTTTTATTGTGATTGCGGTCACCGTGTAGGTCACTCACAGAGGTGAAGAGGAGGTGAGACGGGGTCCAGTCACCACCGCGATCAACGACCGAAATACAGCGGTTCCGCAGCTCGCTGACCCTCGCAAAACCAGGAGAACTGCCCACAAATTCACTTTACTGCGAATTATATTATGTTGTGGGATTTACCGGTGAAACGTAATGCCTGCGGAAGAATAATCTCAACGCTCCTTGTAGCAGCGCACATTGCAAAGCCCCATCCTGGCCCCTCCGACGCGCGATGTCACATACTTTATTAGAGCTCGCCTGTTCATCGCAGTTCGCCCAGTCTGCCGCTCTCGGCTGCGCTCGCTATTTCCCTTCCGCTCTGATAAAACCCACAAGACAGAACGAGTGCACGAGTGTGGTGGGCCCGTGTTTACGGAAAATGCTTTGTGGCCACTTCCCGAACTTATACTACAATGCTTTCGTGGATACTCACCCTTGATGAACGAGCTGTGAAGTTAGACCGGTCAGTGATTCGGTATTACTTTCGCAGCAATCGGAGGCGTTGATTTGAACCGCTCGTTCTCGAAATAGGAACCTTGTCTTGAACAAAGCCATCCAATAACTCAAAGGCCGCAACTACGTCGCACAGAACGCCCTACCTGCGCCACATGCGTTGCGCCATCTTGGGTCCCAGTGTTGCCAGGTGGGGATCGGGGAAAACAAAAATCAGTAGATAGAACTTAATCGAACTCCTAAAAATCAGTTAATAAAATAATATACTTTTTTTACCCCCAGACTAATCTTTTAGCAAATTTTATAAACTATAAAACAACAGTTTAGCTAAAAGTGTATTCCCAAACTGAGCTATAATTAAAAAAAAAAACTTTGCTATACTAAACTTAGTGTTATTTTTATTGCGTCACTCTGTTGCAATGTCCGGCAGAAATGTTTTAACGTTGAAAATTCGCTTTGATTGTATCAAGTTTTCCGATGACTTGACTCAACGCTGCAATACAAAAACCCAAACACTTCTGCGTGAAAACGAAACTACGTGGATGCGAGTTGCGAAACCTCTCGGTGGTCTGGAAACATGACGCACGAGGACACAGCGCACCCGTAACAAACACTCAACGTTCACAGTCACACCAAAAGAAAGGGACACTTACACAGCGCTGACTTCAACTCTTTGTATATTCCCGCCTTTTCTTTTCTTTGTTGAAGCGCTGACTTCAACAAAGAGTTGAAGTCAGCGCTGTGTAAGTGTCCCTTTCTTTTGGTGTGACTGTGAACGTTGAGTGTTTGTTACGGGTGCGCTGTGTCCTCGTGCGTCATGAACTACCAACTCGCCCGAACTTCTGTTTTAACAAGTCTGGAAACACTCTGCGGGCGGCCGTCTAGAGTTTCGGTTTCTCCGCATTTCCTTCCAGGACATGGAAGCACCGGCACTGAGTGCGATTCGGAAATTTTATTGTTTTCTGACTTTTGACCGATCACCCAACGTGGACGAAGAGCTAGGCCGTCATGCGCTTCATCTCTGAGGACACTTTGAATTCTTTTTTTGATGCGAATACGGATGAAATCGTAGTGTTTAGCGGTAGACTGCTCTACGGTATTGCTACTCAAAGTATTTTTTTTAATTGGCAAAATGTGTTTTATTTTTATTTTTTTAGAAAGCTTTGTGTTTTAATGGAAACTGCGCCCTGGGAAATATTTTTCGGGCATTCCAAGAGCTTAAATTGGTTTCACACAGCATTGACCTCAAGCACAGTTGACGGATGTTTCGCTATTAATGAAGATTTGTTCAACCCTGGCAGGATAACTGCATTGACTTTCTTAAGACTAAACAATTATTTTTACATTGGCTGCGTCAAAAAAAAAGAGATGTAAAAAGTGAGTTTGTGAAATGAGGTTGGGACCACCCCTGTTGCTCCACTCGACGTCCGCGACGTAAGTTTTCGCCGCCGCGGCCATCGAATTTTAGCCACTGCGATAGCAAAATCCCTTCTCTATAAAGGTTGAGCAAACAGACACGTAGTCCGTGTCTGTTATGTTTTCTACTCAATAATTTTTTAACAACAAACTTCTGTTTTGTTTTAGATGTGTTTTACAAACCTCGTTTAGTGACGCCAGATGAAGTGTATAAAAATCGCTGCGAAGCAATGAGGTTGTTTTACTTTCAAAGGGAGGCTGATGGCACGTGCTCGATTTTTGTTTTCTTGGTTGAAATATTTTTATCCAGTAACGCGCGTGGATAGAGGCTGTAGTGCCGCTGTATGTAGGCGCGCTCGCGTCCTCGCCAGACGACACGGCGCCGCTTTAAGTTCCATCGCCGCTCCGCCATCATTACTAAAGTCCCTCTATCCTGGAAAAAGTGGTGCCATCCATTGTCGTTGAAATGCTCGAGACACGTGACACGCGCCCCTTCTGGGAAGAACATGGCGTCTGAAATCTAGCTCAGTGCTGCGCTGTGCCGCCATGAACTACCAAGGGCTGCACGTTGCGCTTGCCTCGTGCATCGACGCACTATGGGCTACTTTGAAAACATGAAGGGGCTTTAATCATTACCAAAGATCCTTCATGTTAAAAAAGTAGCACAAGATGCGTCGATGCACTACACACGTGCAACCTGCAGCCCTTGGGAAGATCATGGCGGCACAACGCAGCACTGAGCTAGATTTTAGACGACATGTTCTTCCCAGAAGGGGCGCGTGGCACGTGGCTCGAGCATTTCTACAACAATGAATGGCGCCACTTCTCCCAGGATAGAGGTGTGGCTCGCGCTCCCTCCGGCCAGACAAAGGCGCCCCGCAAAAGATTGCAGCACTGATCTCTAATCGATATGACATAGCAGCACTAATAGAAACGCTGCGGAGCAAGGATTGTTTTAGAATGCAAAAGTACAAGATGGCGAGATTGAAAATCTTTGAAGCGGTGTGCAATCCGTTCACCGATCACAATTAATCGAGCCGCGCTCAAACTGATGCCAGAATCTTGATCGGTATCCAAGCGTGCGAAGGCACAGAGACGTAGCACTTCGGCGTGACAAGGAAACTTTGATTACGTTGCGAGACCGGCGAAACTTGCTCTCGACGAATTGTGCCTTTTTCGTGCGGCACTGCGCTTTCGTAAAATTTTCCACGTGTTCTCAACAGTAAGTCTCAACGCTTCCACAGGGTCTTTGAAAACATCTTCTGCGAATGACGACGAACGAGTAGAAAACGTTTCTCCAGCACGCTGGCGGCGGCCTCTGTAACGCTAGCAAAACCGCAATTTGTCTATTTGCAAGATGGCTGTCCGGTGACTTCACTATACTCTGTTTCACCTTATGATGTACCGCAGAAAAGGCTACAAGCGCGAGCTTCTTGCTCTAGGGCACATCAAGGCGGCACAAGCTGTCGTGCGTTAAGAGTAGCTCTAACGCTATGAGCTCGCGGTACAACATAAGGTGAAACGGAGTGTAGCACTTCAGCGACCAAGCGGGGAAGCGCGATCAGCAATAGACCTCAGGAATTGGTGTTCCACGCGGCGCACGTGCTGGCCTCACAGCCGTAACTTTTCGTCAACGCTTTATTTTGGTTATTTACTTCGAATCTTTTATACGGGGAAGGCATGCGCGTGCGGCGCCTGGAACCCCAGTCCCTGCATTCTCCTTGATGCTTGGGTAATTTAGTAATACGTATATTTTCAAAGAGATGAGTAGGGGTGTCGCGAACTTTTGTCGAACAAGATTTTTTGGTCGAACTTTCGGGATTTCGACTGGGTCGAACCGGTTCGACGAACCTTCGAACTTTTCACCAGTTTCGACCGGTTCGACTTTGTGGACAGTGTGGCCAGACTTTGATACAAGCATGTCTAGGTTTGGAGAATTTCTTTTTTTATGCAAAAGGTTATTTTATTGTGTGAACAACTGCAATTAAAAGAAACTAATTCTATTCACTGAAGAAGTTAATAACTTAAATTTTAGTACTGTATTGACTGAAATAGCCGATCAGCGTTGCACTTAATTCATCTCTTAGCCATTACCATCCAATCCGAAGCCAACTGGCCAGCCTGTCGCGCATGCGCACACGAGTCGAACCTCAATACAAGGTTCGACGAACTTTTCACTAAAAGTTCGAAAAAGTCGAACCTGGTCGAACTCGAACCGCGGCCGGTTCGCGACACCCCTAGAGATGAGTACTGCAAACGGTCCATCTTTTGCGGGGCTCCTTTGTCTGGCCAGAGGGAGCGATGGCGGAGCGGTGGCCGTGTTGTCTGGCGAGGACGCGAGCGTGCCTACATAAAGCGGCATTAAAGCGTCTATCCACGCGCGCTAGTGGATAAAAATATTTAAACCAAGAAAACAAAAATGGAGCACGCGGCATCAGCCTCCATTCGAAATCTTATACTTGGTGTCAATAACTTTTACAGTCGGTCCTGCAACTGGGAACGTTGCCTGGGGTGCGCAACTACGTACCATACGGTGTAGCATCGTTACTTCTGTGCGCGTGAGTGTGGTTTATATGCCCATCCGTATGTATATATGAGTACACAGCTTTCAGGGTATTTTTAACTTGAACTATACATCCTAAGTGGCTCTCAAGTGTATATATTACCAAGACCAATCAACCGTAGTGGAGTAGCCGGCACTGAATAGACAGTGCCAACATCTCCACAAAACCCTCCATTTAATAAAGAAGAGCGCTCGTTTAGCCGTGCCGCTGTCACACTAGGAGCTCGCGCTCGTAGCCTTGGGGCTTAGTCCGTACTAAGATAACACGAATGTATTCGCGGCGAGAAGCACGTAAGGGGGCGCTTCAGCGATCCTCACTGTAAAGCCGCGTCATGTTTCAAAGGAGCACAAGGTGCGTCGATCCACGAGGCACGTGCCGCACTTGGGAAGATCATGGCTGCACAGCGCAGCAGACGTTATGCTCTACCCAGATGCGACGCGCGGCACGTGTCTCGAGCATTTCCACAGCAATGAATGGCGCCACCTTTCCCAAAATAGATGGGCTTTACCTCACTGCGGCGGCTACACGTGCTAATCACGCGTTGATATTTTTGTCCCCACATACAGCACAGATCTAGCTTTCATGCTAGAACCGCGAGTCACTGCGGCATGTCCGTGTCTCGTATACAGCATTTAGGTTGCTCCTGTTGCTGCGCTTCATGCGAAGTGCCTAGGTCCCGGTTTCTAATGTTGATTCAGCGCTGACGTAACCAGGTAGCTTTGCGTTATCTGTAAAAAAAAAAAAAAAAAAAAAAAAAAAGAACATCGATTCAATATTGTTTTGGGATGCGAATAGGATCCACCTGGTAGCGACTCCCAAATTCTTGACGTAAACAGGAACGGGCGTTTTTTTTTTTTTTTTTTTTTTTTTTTGCAGCTTTTTTTCATAATTGATATTTTGTCTCACAAATCTTGAGAAAAATTTGAGGAAAACAATCGATGACAACGCAAAAAAAAAAAAAAAAAAAAAACATGCGGACGTTATCGCGCGGCGTGAAGACATTTACAACTGTCGAACTGGGCTCCAATCGGTTCACGAAGTTGTACCGAACCTGCTTATGAATTTTTTTATGCGCGTTGTAGAGTCGGTTTGCGCTTTTTCTTGATGCGCAAGCAGCTCAATGTGTGCGGAAAACACCGAGAGTTTTAATATTCTACGCCACAAACTACAATTGAAGATGCGTAAGGTTAACAGTAACAACAAATGTTGAAAACACCACAGAGCCCTCGTTTTAATGTCATATAATAAAGATATAAATAATTAATTTGGAAAGCCAAAAAAAACAACCTCATTGCTTTGCAGCGATTTCTATACACTTTATCTGGCGTCGGTAAACGAGGTTTGTAAAACACATCTAAGATAAAACAGAAGTTTGTTGTTAAAATATTATTGAACAGAAAACATAACAGACACAGACTGCGTGTCTGTTTGCTCAACATTCATAGAGAAGGGATTTTGCTATCGCAATGGCTAAAAACTCGACGGCCGCGGCGGCAAAAACTTACGTTGCGGACGTCGAGTGGAGCAACAGGGGTGGTGCCAACCTCATTTCACAAACTCATGCTTTTACATCTCTTTTTTTTTTTTTTTGTCGCAGCCAAGGTAAAAATAATTGTTTAGTCTTAAGAAAGTCAATGCAGTTATCCTGCCAGGGTTGAACAAATCTTCATTAATAGTGAAACATCCGTCAACTGTGCTTCAGGTCAATGCTATCTGAAACCAATTTAAGCTCTTGCAACGCCCGAAAAATATTTCCCAGGGCACAGTTTTCATTAAAACACAAAGCTTTCTAAAAAAATAAAAATAAATCACCTTTTGCCAATAAAAAAAAAAATATATATATATATATCTTTGAGTCGCATGTAATACCGTAGAGCAGTCCACCGCTAAACAGTACGATTTCATCCGTGTTCGCATCGAAAAAAGAATTCAAAGTGTCCTCAGAGATGAAGCGCATGACGGCCTAGCTCTTTGTCCACGTTGGGTGATCGGTCGGAAGTCAGAAAACAATAAAATTTTCGAATCGCACTCAGTGGCAGAGCGTCCATGCCCTGGAAGGAAATGCGAAGAAACCGAAACTCAAGACGGCCGCCCGCACAGTGTTTCCAGACCACCGAGAGGTTTCGCAACTCGCATCCACGCAGTTTCGTTTTCACGTAGAAGTGTTTGGGTTTTTGTATTGCCGCGTTGAGTCAAGTCATCGGAATACTTGATACAGTCAAAGCGAATTTTGGACGTTAAAACATTTCTGCCGGACATTCCAACAGAAAGACGCAATAAAAATAACACTAATTTTAGTATAGCAGAGTTGTTTTTGTTTTAATTATAGCTCAATTTGGGAATACATTTTTAGCTAAACTGTTGTTTTATAGTTTATAAAATATGCTAAAAGATTAGTCTGGTAGTAAAAGAAGTACATAATTTTTAACGTTGATAATTTTATGAACTGATTTTTAGAAGTTCGATTAAGTTCTATCTACTGACTTTTGTTTTCCCACCTAGCAACAATGGGACCCAAGATGGCGCAACGCATGTGGCGCAGGTAGAGCGTTCTGTGCGACGTAGTTGCGGCCTTTGAGTTATTGGATGGCTTTGCTCAAGACAAGGCTCCTATTTCGAGAACGAGCGGTTCAAATCAACGCCTCCGATTGCAGCGAAAGTAATACCGAATCACTGACCGGTCTAACTTCACAGTTCGTTCATCAAGGGTGAGTATCCACGAAAGCATGGTAGCATAAGTTCGGGAAGTGGCCACAAAGCATTTTCCGTAACCACAGGCCCACCACACCCGTGCACTCGTTCTTTCTTGTGGGTTTTATCAGAGCGGATGGGAGATAGCGAGCGCAGCCGAGAGCGGCAGACTGGGCGAACTGCGATGAACAGGCGAGCTCTAGGAATAAAAGGCACTCACTTGATCGAATGACGTTTTAGCGAACGCCCATGTTTCACCGAATGACACTTTAGCGAATAGTTGGACGCCGCGAAGCGGCGTTTTCGGGTGGGCCAGATGGGTTCACATTTTTGTAATGAGCCGCCGCAGACTGTCGTCGCGATGCGGCGTAAAGCGCAGCGCGGCGGATGGGTTAACGCGCACCCCGGTTATTCGCTAAAACGTCCATTCGCTCAAATGTCGCTGTTCGCTAAAATGTCATTCGCTAATATGATATTGACCCGGACCTTGTCTCACCTCCTCTTCACCTTTGTGTGTGACCTACACGGTGACCGCAATCACAATAAATGCGAACTGTTTTAATCCAGGCTGTACCTGAGTGCCATCCGATGGCACCAAAGTAACACTGGACGGCACTCTGAGCACGCATTCGAGCGCTGTCCGAAGGCTCGATCGGCTGCAGAGGGGACCTGGGTCATCGCGCCCCTAGAAGCAGAGCGTTTTCCGCTTCCGTAGTCTGAAGAAATATGTTTCACTTGGAAGTTTTTTGACCATATCTAAGCACTTAGCAAGTCATCAGGGAAGTGTCGCGATTGGCAATTTAGAAGATCTGACTGTGAGCCGCTTGCCGCTGATTTGTTTGTCATAAAGTGCGTCCAAATAAAGCCACAAATCGTTTGAGCAACCTTAAAATTCTTCAGGCACTCTCTGCGGTTGATATCACCACACATCTCGACACCAGCTTTGCACGGGCACTTCCAAGATGAATTGCCGTTGAAATTAGTGGGTAAGCTAGTTCAACACGTTAAAACTATCTGCAAAAAACAGTTCCTTAACCGAAGCAAAGTACCGAAGAAAGGAAGCAGACGACGGATGTCACCGGGCAGCCGCAGTCTCCATTTGGGGATTGGGATGAGTAGAGGCGCAGAGCCCACCAGTGCCAGCCAGTCCTTCCCTACGACCAACAGTCAACCACAAGGGGTGACGGGTAGTCATGATGGGCGAGGAAGTAGACTGCAAAGGGGTAGGCGATAATGGAGGTTGGGTTGCGGGGGCTACGGAGCTAACATCATGACCCTCTGCTACAAGTCTATCCTTCTGGGTAGTAGGCATTTCTTCCGAATTTTGAATACGACACAAGTTCAACTTTGAGGGCGTGTGACGGGCCGCTAAAAAACACTCTTGAGGCCCTGGCCGGCATAAAAAGGCCAGGCTGTGTTAGCGAGCCCCATCTATGAAAAGCGACAAGCTTTCATGCCATGATTCTTTTGGAGAGAAGTAGTTGTAGTTGTAATTTAATTAAATTTTAGGCACTTTACCCACATATGCAGGATATGTGTGGGTCTCCATCGACAGGACAAGTTGCCTGCTTCTTGAAGACCTTCTATGATGATGCGCAACATTGGCAATTATCGTACGTGTGATCATGGATGCCTCCATCTCCCTGCAAAGGTAACCCATAGACTACAGAAGGTATCGTCTAGTATGCAGTGCCAGGAATTAATTTCGAGGTAAAGGCCGTTCCCAAGCTCCTTGAGAACCTGCATGGTGATGCTCTAGTACAGGGGTGGCCAAACTGCGGCTCGCGAGCCGCATGCAGCTCTCCGTGTGTTAAAGTGCGACTCGCCGCTCCCTCCCTTAACCCTCCTCTCCCCTTCCTCCCTTCCGGAGCACTTCCCCTAAAAGAGAAATGAAACGCGTTTTAAATCGAAAAACAGGTTGGGGTTTGGTAGTGTTGTGCTACTGCTGGCTTACGCACAATTGAACTGCTTTTGACTCGGATAGACCGAAATATGTTCGAGTTTCGTTTATTCCTCTAAACAAAAATCAGCCCCTCCCCCCCCCCACGACTTTTGAAAAGTTTGTGATTTTGTTTGCGGCTCTTAGGCCGGGTCAGCCGGGCCACCCCTGCCGTAGTATATAATACACTGGAGTGGCTATAGGTAACGTTCCATGTTTTCAGAATATGCTTTTAGTGAAATTTCGAAAATGTTTTCTCTTTTTGCGGAAGTAGACGGTAATATTTTTGTAGCGTACGAAAGAGTTCACATTGAACGCTGCGCCGCATCCATGCTATTTAGGACCACGGTGATAGTTTGATGCTCTTCTTGATGAGAACAATGCATGCTAGAAAATAATTTCCAGTGCAGCCCAGAGTACTCACTCAGCAAGGATATACACAGTTGCTAGGCTCGCACATAGAGCGTTGACTCTGCACACAGCACCGATTCAATCGAAACATACAGAGAGGCTATTTTGCTTCCCAATGGATTGCAGCTGACAGATTGCGCAATCTTTTCTTGCTGGGCTAGACCGAAGCGATGCGATATTGCGTTGCACCTTGTCACTGTTAGTGGTGCCAGTGACGGTTCCTATGGTAAGCGTTGCGGGATGTTCGTTTTATCATACGGTGTGTTATATATCTAGAGTTGAGAGCACGCAATGACCGATCCAGTTGTTGTAGATAGACATGGATTACCCAGTCGGTCATGGAAGCACGTCGAAGGAGAGGAGGAGGAGGAGGAATAAACTTTTAATAAATAGAGCTTCAGGCGCTGATGGTTGGGCGCCCGCCCGGTGGGGGGCCTCCTCTAGTCCGGGAAGCCCTGGTCCGCGCTGACTTTCCGGGCTCTCTCCACCAGGCTACGCTGGGCTGAGAGGTCGGAACTGGTCAGCTGGCCCACCCACTGCTCGTAGGTTGCGTGAGGGTTGGGGGCGAGGGATGGGGTTTGCTGACACTCCCAGACCATGTGGTACAGGGTGCCAGGCTGGGAGCAAAATTTGCAGGTAGCAGAATATAGGGTGGGGTACATGGCGTGCAGTAGAGTGCCGTGGGAATACGAGTTAGTTTGTAGCCGACGAAAAGCGGTCGCTTCGGCTCTGGATAGGCGGGGGTGCGGTGGCGGGAATTGTCGTCGTTCGTGGCGGTAATGAGCGAGGATGTCCGCGTATTTCTTAAGAGGAGTAGGTTTGAAAGTGCACGGGGTTTGCGTGTCGTCGCCTTCTTGAGAAACTGCCCGGTGTATATGAGCGCGGGCAGCGGCGTGTGCCGCTTCGTTTCCCTCGAAGGACTCGTGTCCGGGGGTCCAGACGATATGGAGTTCTGGGAGTTGACGTACGTTTTGTAGAACTTTGAGGGCCGTTGGTGATATGCGGCCAAGTAGGAAGTTGCGGCAAGCGGCTTGAGAGTCGGTCAGTACAGTGATATATTCGTTGCCAGTGGTGGCCGCCAAAGCAATGGCGAGCTCTTCTGCTGTCTCGATAGACGTAGTGAGAATTGTAGCTGCCGTCAGTTCTTTGCAATGGGCGTCGGTGACGCTCACGGCGTGGGCTGGTTGTTGGGGGTACGGGGAAGCATCCGTGTAGCGAGTAAAAGAAGAATCCGGGGAGTGTTCGTATTGGGTTTTGAGGGCTCGTATCCGGGCTTCTCGCCGTGCCTTGTTGTAGATGGGATGCATGTTTCTTGGAATAGGTGCGACTTTGATGGAATGTCGGATGGCGAGAGGGATGCGTTTCTTCTGCTCGCATTCTGCAGGAGGCGTGTAACCGAGCCGGTAGAGCGTAGCTCTTCCTACCGATGTGAGTTTCAGTCGGGTGAATTGTGAGACTCGATGGGCTTCTTGTATTTCCTCCCATGTATTATGGACGCCGAGTTGTAGGAGTTTTCGTGTGGCCGTCTTTGGGGGTAGTCCCAGGGCGGCCTTGTAGGTTTGGCGAATGGCAACGTTCAGTTTCTCCTTCTCCGCGGATTTCAGGGCCAAGTACGGTGTCCCGTACGTGACTCGGCTGATAAGGATAGCTTGAATGATGCGTAAAGTGTCGGTTTCTTGTAGTCCAAAGTGGCGATGGGAGACTCTGCGGATGAGGTGCATGAGTTGAGTTAGTGTGCGCTGCAGGAAGAGGATGGTCTGGGCGCCTGAGCCATCTTTTGGTATGTTGAGGCCCAAGATGCGAAGGTGTGGGACGTTGGGGACGGGTTGGTTGTCAATGGTGAGCTCTGGATCTGGTATGGGGTCTTTGTTTTTCTTGTATGTTCTCTTGCACAGCGTTAGAAGGGCAGATTTTTCTGGGGCGCATTCAAGTCCCCTGGGTTGCAGGTATTGTTGGGTCACCTGGATGGCTGCTTGAAGTGCGTCTTGTTGGTCCCCCGTTGATCCGGTGGGGACCCAGAGTGTTAGATCGTCTGCGTAGATGGCGTGATGTAGGTTTGGGATGGCTTGTAATAGGGGTGGCAAGTCCTTCATGGCGATGTTAAACAGTAGGGGGGACACTACCGACCCTTGTGGCGTTCCTTTTGGTATTGTTGTGAACGTGTCGGATCGAAGGTGTCCGATACCCACTGTTGCCGTGCGGTTGGTGAGAAATGAGGCGAAGTATTTGTATGTGCGCTCGCCACAGTTAGTGGATGCGACGCCTTGAAGGATGGCCTGGTGTGAAATGTTGTCGAATGCCCCCTTAATGTCTAGGGTCAAGATCGACCGCTTGCTGTGGTTATTCAAGCTGTCCAGTACTTCCTCCTTGAGCTGAAGCAGTATGTCCTGAGTGGACAGATGCGGGCGAAAGCCGTACATTGTGTCGGGGAAGTAGTCTTTGTCCTCAATGTGAGGCGACAGCCGGTTGTGGACCATGTGTTCGAACAGCTTGCCAACGCAGGAAGTGAGGGAGATGGGCCTGAGATTCTTGGGGTTCAGGGGCTTGCCGGGTTTTGGAATAAGAGTGATGTCCGCGTGTTTCCACTGAGGAGGCAGGGAGCCCGCCAGCCAGCAGTCGTTGATATAGTCTAGCAGATTTTCCAGTGCTACGTGATCGAGGTTTCGGAGTAGCTTGTTGGGTATTTTGTCTCGACCCGGGGTGGTGTTGCGGGTGAGAGTGTATACCGCCGCCTCGATTTCAGCCAGTGAGAATGGCTCGTCCATTTCAGGGTTGGGGTCACCCGTGTAGTCTGGTGCCCGCTTGGGTTGGGCGTGTGACGGGGCCGCCAAAGGTTGTTTGAGCTCATCTAACAAATCGGCTTCAGTACCCGGGTGGTTGTGAATTAATCGGCGGAGTTGGTGGGTCGTGACCGCCTTGGACTCGCCGGTCCCCAACAGGGAGCGTAGCAGGTGCCAAGTTCGACGGGTCCCCAGCGTTCCTTGGATTTTGTTACAAAGTTGCATCCAGTTTAATTGGCTAAGTTGGAGGGCGTATGTTTCCGCTTCTGCCGTTAGTTTTGTAAAGCTAGTGAAAGAAGATCAATGATATGCCTCCCCTAAAGGGGATCGAGCCCACAGCCTTTTGATTAAGAGCCCGATGTTCTACCCCTGCACCACTGAATGGCACAACGAAGGGCGTTTCATCTGGGTTCTTTTAAGTCACGCAGCTTTTGCGGGACATTCATGTGACTCACGTGGTGCTTGCACTCGCCAGTCATGCCCGGCGGCCGACATGCTGTAGTGGCAGGCTTCCTGCCATGGTTTGTCGCGTCTTAGCATGGCCTAGCCGGAGTGGTTACAAGTGCGAGCGAGCGCCCTGCGTTTAATTGCTGTTTGGTTGTACGAGAACTTGAGCAGGAGGGACACCAGTGAAAGCAACTCGCTTGTGATTGTACCATTACCAGCTAGTTCATGCTAGGGTAAGACAAAAGGATAGTGTTGTCGCACCTTCCCTTCCATTTGGCAGTGTAAAAAAAATTTAATGTACCTTGATCCAATGGGTAAATTCGGACGACACATTGTGTGCAGGTGTGTGTCGCGGGAGTGATTAAAAGCTCATGAACCCAGTTACACGCTTCGGAAGTCTTACTATACTCTGTGTCATCCGAGTTTTCTCGTAGGATCAAGGTGCATTTGTTTCTTTGTTGTGCCTAGTGCTTAACAGTGTCGCGCAGTCTATGTACAGCATCCTGCGAGCTTTGATTGGACATGCGTGGCCGTACTGCCTATGTGGTAGGCTGTCCTTTCCAGCATGTCATGGGCATTCTTGTTTACACTTCGCATTAAGCAACTGTGTGTGTGAACAGTGTTAGTGACAGCCAGGCTAGCACTTGACGCTTTGTTCTTAGAATTGAAAGGCTGCCATCAAAACGTTAAATGCAAGACACATGTGCGTCGAAACAATGTGAGCCAGTGTGCAAAGAGTCGGAAAGATGGCTGCTTCAGCGTGCTGCACACAGTAGTTTCCGACAGATGCTTTGGATCTTGCTAACGTCGGGTCGTTCCGGTGGCTCCGCCCAGTTCAGGCAGATACGAGGAAAACTGAAATTGTTTTACGTTTAAGCTCTTGTAGAAATTCTAAGCTTTTGTCGCGTTTTCCGAAAGACCTTCAAATACCTTGTGCTCAAAAGCCGGAACCATGCATTGTGTCTAGCTTTTATAGATAACTATTTTGTTCTCAAGAGTCGTTACTTGTGGCTCCTTTGGGCGAAAACTACACTGCAATCCAATGAGATGAGGGTTGCTGAGAGTCGATGTGGATTTGTTTGTAATTTCGAAGTGCTTTTTGAGCAAAGATCTAGCTTCGAACAGGAACAAAGCCTTCATTGACGAACTGGATGAAGCTCGGGAGTGCTTCATTTATTTGGTGAACAAACACTTTATGCCGTAATGGGAGCAACCAAAGCTAACAAAGCCATGAATGAGCTGTTACAATTTTTTTCAATCGGCGTCGGACAGTTCTTTAGGTATCGATATAATGGCAACATGACTGAAATGATGGTATCCAAACATTGTAAATTAATCACGTTCGAGCACCGCGTAGAAACCACCGGTTGCACCACTCATGGGGACCTTGCTGTTCACAGGAGGAGAAATGGGAGGAAAGTGTCTAGAGCACTTTCCTCCCATTTCTGACCATTTGAAGCATGCAATCGTCGATTTATCTCGCCTTTCTTAGTATTTTCTGCCACAGCCACGGGCGTGGTAAAATATTTTTGTTCGACGTAAATCTGTATGAGTGACTCTTTATACTTGGAACCGAAATATGCCGACGCCTTCAGGCTAAACTGTGCTTCTAATGTAGAAAGAAGTGCACAATGAGATTAGCTACTCATGCAATGTGCTGGTACGGAGATTGCAGCTATGGATATTGTTTCACAGGAAAATGTGTTTTGTTTCGCTGCAGTGTGTGTCATCAGACATTGCAGCACATCATACCTACGACAGACGGTGGTGCGTGCCTTGTGCTGAAGACCTTCCAAGGTGGCCTGGGCAGTTACCGCACTTAAGAGCATAGGTACTTCCATTACTCTGCCAAGGTAACCTCTAGAGTTGGGGAAGTATCGCCTCATATGCAATGCCAAAACTTCCCTTTGCGAGGAAGGTCATAACCAAGCTGCACCAGAGCCTGCCTGGCTACCCCTGGCGTGACATATAGCAGCATCACTATAAGCGGCTTTCCGTGTTTCCAGAATTGATCCTTTGTGGCATTTGGAGGGTGTTTTCCGGAGCTTACCTTTGTCGAAAATTTGATGTTCCTCAGAGCTTGTTTTGATTAAATTCTCAGTTTTTCAGAATTCAGATATTAAATTTGCTCGCTGATTTTCCCAATTCTCAGAAAGTCAAAAGAAACAGAAATAGTAACCAGACACAAGTGTATGAATTAATTTGTAGTCTCAATGATTACAGAAGGACTTGCCTGTGCCTAGATGAGGTTTCTTGAGCTGAATATGGCGGTCTGACTCTAGATGCTCTACAACTCGCAGTGCACCCTAGTTAATACCAACTCTCCCACGACAAAACTTGCAAACCAGGGTTACTTATCCAGGTGTCGGTACATTAAGCTATCAGTCTCCTCGATTCGGTCACTGAAAAAGTTTGTTTTACCCCCCTCCCCCCCCCCCCCCTTTTTAAAGGCTCCGTGAAATACTTGCTACTCACAGCCGTGGGTACCACGGGAACGTGCTGCGCGGCATGGCTGTGCGGGGTGAAGGGTGAAATCTAGAAAGTTCCGCCGCCTTCGCTGGTCCCACAAAATCTGCGGGCTAGTGTCTTCCTTTATGATAGAAACTGTACCCCTCTTAACATTACGAAGCCCAAATGGTTTGTTCTAAACTCTTATTTGTTGGGAGCATGGCTAGCACAACCACATCAGAGAACAGAATGGAACATGTTTCTTTCGTGCTGCTGAGGAAATGTTGGGGTTGCACAGGCTTCATTTGTTGCCATCGAAATTCTTCTAATCAGTTGGAAACAAATTCTACTGCCGAAGCCCAACCCCTCCCCACCCCCAACGTCACATATACTGATGTCACATAGACTAGGGGAACACAACTACAGCATAAACAGAATCACTTCTGGACACTTAGGCATACATTGCCAAGATTGCAGATGTCAAGCAGAACTAAAAAAAAACTACCCCGTAATAGGTAAAAATAATAATCAACTAATTAGGGAAATTATTGAAAAGATTGTGAGGTAAGAAGAAAACTGTGTCACTAAACCTTGTCTAAATTTATCAGAAAAAAGAATTAGATTATCTTGCATCCAGATGAAACCAAAAATAACTAAAAAAAATGTCTTATTGTTTAAAAAGACAGGCGCAGGTAGAGAAGAAAAAATACAAGTCTGAGTTGCAAGTCAGTGCTTCATGAATGTCTTTTCCTTTTGTGTGTGCCTGTGCCTGGTTGCGAATTTTTCGCACTGTGGAGGAGTATGCAACACAAACTCGCCCAAACCTCCTTCTTAACATATTTTTAACACTGCCAGTAGAAACTTTCACTTTGAAAATACGATGAGGACCGAATTTGAAAATGAAATGTCGCCAAACAATTTTTTGCAGACGTAAGGTTTTGGTTACGAGGTCAGTCATAGCTACTGGTGTGTTTAGCCAGTTTTGAGGCAAATTTGTGACCTTGAAAAACATTACAGGTCTTTTGTTACATTCCTTTTAGTCTCCTGAAGATGTAAATCATTGGATTGAACCCCTACCACATTGTTTTGTCTCATAACTGATGCAGGTATCTTCTTTTTTTCTTCAACTCAGTTTGACGTAGGAGCTGCCAAGGCGTCCTGTCCATTTCACGTGAACAGTGGCCAGCACTGGAAGAAGCAATCTTTGGACTGCTGTAATGCATTCTTTGGGCACGTAAATAAATTACTTTGAATCAGAGACCTGGTGTTTGCACAGCCGCTCCACAGAACAAACAACACAAACACATATGTTTCTGTGCCCAAAGCCTTCGTAGCTACTTGAACTTATTGATCTGAGCTTACAGGTTGCAATGTTAAGGCAAGACGCAGGTATAGTTAATGTATCTCTAAAAAGAATTGGGGGCACCTTATGCTTGGATGTCTAGCTTGATCAACTTGGAATGTCCAGCCGAATTGAAACAAGGATCTAGCCGAACTGAAGCATGCAGCCGAATTGAAACTTGTAGCCGAACTGAAGATTTAGCCAAACTGAAGCGTCCAGCTGAATTGAAACTTCTAGCCGAACTGAAGCGTCCAGCCGAATTGAAGCTTCTAGCCGAATTGAGGATGTAGCCGAACTGGAACGTCCAGCCGAATTGAAACTTCTAGCCGAATTGAGGCAATAGCCGAATTGAGGCTTCAGCCGGTTTGGGACGACACCCTTTTTATGTTATTGTATTTTTATGTTTAGGGCTATGATAGGTCAGTTCGGTGGGCACACCATGATGCATGGGCCTTCGCTTTTCCTCCGAACTAGCGTGCCTGTCGCATTCCCCTTTTTTTTTTTTATATATATATTTCAAGTGCAATAGAGTATGGGGTAAAAGGAAACAGGAAAAGCACAAAACCATGAGCAGGCTTTATTTCTCTTTGACCTCGAGGACGTCTTGGAGTGTCAAGGCGAGGGTGTTTTCCACCTCTTGCTCCGTCAACAGGCGAACTCCCGATGCCTGCCGCAGATCATCGCCGGGAGGGTGAAGTACCGTGCCGTCGGGAAGCTGCGCTCGATATGGTGGCTGCCCCTCGAGCATCCGCGCAGTCGCCGCGGCAGCCCGCTCTCCTTTCTGCGTCTGCAGCAGCTCCAGGCGCTCCCTGCAGGACCGGGCGCTGTCCAAGCGTTTTTGCAGCGCTTCCGGACGCTTCGTGGCCGCTGCAACGTTGTGCCGCACGTTGCTCCCTTTGACTTGTCCGAGCCTCCCGGAGTTGGCCTCAGGTTCCAGTAGCTTTGACTGCAACTCCCGGAGTGGTCTTGTGTTGGCGTTGCGCGCCTGCAGTTGAGTCTGCGACTCCTCCGATTGTTTGCGCACTGGAAGGGCGATCTCCTGCTGAAATGTGCCCTGGATGCGATGGGCCATTTTCCCCGTAGTGTCCATCTTGCCGGCGGCGACCTGCTGCTTCTGCAGTGCCGCCTCCAGTCGCGACTTGTCGGCCAGTGCGTTCTCCATGCGTCGTTGCAGCGCACTCATCATGAGGCCGCTCTGGCGCTCTTGCCGCGCCGCCTGTGCCACCCGCTGCTGCTCGCGCAGCCGCAGGGTGCTCACCTCGCGGTCGCGCTCCCTTTGGGTCCGGCGATGCTGCTCCGACTCCTCTTTGAGCTGGCGCATCAGCCGCACGCGCATTTTTTTCATCTCCAAGATTTCTTCTTTGAGTTTCTTAGCATCTGGTTCTTCCTCTTTCAGCCCAATCACCGTGGCCTGCTCCTGGACTTTCTTTCGCAGCTTCGCAACGCGCTCCTCCAGCTCCTTGATGCGCTTGCGCCGTTGCTCCAAGGTACGAGTCTCCCGAGTCTTCTTGTTGGCATTGTTACCATTCGCCACCAAGGCGGAGAGGTCGTCCTTCTCCTTCATGAGCAGCTCCACCTCCCTCTCCAGCTCCTGGATCTTTCCTTGGTACAGGGAGTGCACCACCTCGAGGTGCTCCTCGACGGCGCGCAAACGTTGAGCCAGGTCCTCCTTAGCCTGCAGCATCGGGAAGGTCGGTTGTGCGAGTCCCAGAACGCTCCAACTAATGGCGGAGTGGAACGCACTAGCACGCGCAACGCCCGCACGTTTTCGGCTGCTGATAATGATTGCGTTAGCACACAAAGAAAGCTTGCAACAGTGAAAGTAAGAACAGTTTAAAGGGGTCATGAAACCAATTGTGGGCTGGGATAAATGATTTTAAATTGGGACTTTACTAATCACAGATCGTTTAGTTGGCCAAAAGAGGGTAGAAAGTCAAAAGCCATATTTTCGGTACGAACATTTGAAAATATAGTGGACTATTTTGTACCTTCTTTTCTTCGAAAGCTGTCCGCCTTTTCACTATAATGCATCCGCGGTTCCCAAAGCGCGAAAGCGGTGCCAAACTGACGTCAGCCGAGCCGAGCTCACGCATTGGACACGAGAATTGCGTCACTTGGACGTATGCGCTCGTCAACAATAAATCCGTCCACGAATATTCGGATTCGCGTTCGTGGCCAATCAGTGCCCTGACGGAACTTATCGTCACTGGTGAATGACAAGTTCTATGGTGTGCATAAAAAGCACGGCGGAAGCTAGGAGTTATCGCACCGGTGCCGAAGAATGTCACGACGACGTGATTTCACTCGCATTTGAGTTGAGGATTAAAGCTAAGGAGGAAGAAGTAGGAAAATAGTTTCATGACCCCTTTAAGCGCCCCTACTCAGCCAATACCACCTAGAAGACAAGGCCTGCGCATTGCGTTTCGTATAGATCCCCGACCCGCCCCAAGCGGCAAACACCCCGAAGCTTGACGAGAGTACGGGCCCCGGGACAACGGCTGTGTTCCCAATCTTACCCAAATAGATCGGAGTTACTCTGCCGGGTCGTGTCACGTGACAACACAGATTGAAAAACGCTGGACGCGGGCGGGTTTTAGAACGCCCAGGTGCAAACCCCTTACCCTGGAGTATAAGATCCGAGAAAATTTTGAAACGCGGCCAACTACGTCGCATCACTGGCGGCCACAGCTGTGTGCGCGACTACTGAGGGCGAGCTCATAGCGAGCTTCCAGTTCTTTTGCAACGTGCATGCGAACACTCCCTCGGCCAGGAGCGCGAGCTAGCCCGCGCTCCTCCAGCTTTGAGAGGTGCATTTCTAGCGCGCGCGCTCGTTCTGCGGAAGAACGCTTCAAAGCAGCGACCTTGAGCTCTCGTGTGTGCTAACGCCATCATTATCAGCAGCCGAAGACGTGCTGGCTGTGCGCGGGCCCGTGCCTTCCACTCCGCCATTCGTACGAGCGTTTAGCGACCTGGGGGCTATGTTGCGCTTTTTGCACTCCCAGGAGACTAGGGAGAGGGAAGTGACGTCAAAGACACAGCAAACGGAGATTGGGTGTTGATTTCGTTTTCTTCTGTCAACATCCAATCTGCGTTTGCTGTGTCGTTGACGTCATTTCCCTCTCGCAACATAGCACCCCTGTGTAATCGACCCGCCAAATGCTGCAGGCTGAGGAGGATTTGGCTGCCCGCATGGAGGAGAAGTCGGTGCACCTCGACGTGGTGCGCTATAGGTACCATACAAAAATCAAGGAGCTGGAAAGTCAGGTGGCGCTGCTAAAGAAGGATAGGGACGACCTCTCGGTCTTGGTGGTGTCTGGCAATGATGTGAACAAGAAGTCCCAGCATAGTCGCATCGCGGAACAAGAGCGGAAGCGCATCAAGGAGCTGGAGGAGCGCGCTGAGGAGATGCGAAAGAAAGTCCAGGAGCAGGCCAAGGTGATCGGGCTGAAGGAGAAAGCGGCACGCACTTCGAAAAAACTCATGGAAGAAATCCTTCAGAGCAGACGTGCATGCGGCTGATGCGCCAGCTCAACGAAGAGTTCGAGCAGCACCGCCGGGCCCAAAGGGAGCACGACTGTCAGGTGAGCAGCCTGGGGCTGCGCCAGCAGCAGCAGGTGGCGGAGGCGGCGCGGCAAGAGCGCCAGATCGGCCTTAAGATGAGCGCGCTGAAACGACGCTTGGAGGAGTCACTGGCGGACAAGTCGCGCTTGGAGGCGGCACTGCAGAAGCACCAGGTCGCCGCCGGCAAGAGGGACACCCCGGAGGAAGTGGCCCGTCGCTTAGGCCACAGTTGAGCAGGAGTTCGCAGTTACGTTGTGCGAACGATTGAAGCAGTTGAAGGCTGAACCGCAGGCGCGCAACACCCACGCCACACCACTCCTGGAGACACTCCTTCAGACGAGCCACTAGAGGAACTCTCATTAAAGAGATGAGTCGAAACTTATGAAATACCTCTCTTGTTCATATACAAGTTAAAATGAACTATATCTGCTAATGACAATTGCACGCTTGTTTTTCAAACGTCTGGCTGCATTTTTCGTTCTAACAGCTCGATTCTGGCGGGCGTTTCAAAATCAGCCACCGAAGAGCGCTGTGAGTCTCGCGATATCTGACCCGCCTACGACTTGCCCGCGACGTCATCGGCCTCCCTACGGCCAAGCGTACCGTATAGTTCAACGGTATGAACGTGCCACTACCAGAGTACGCGAAGGCTGTAACATTTTGTCACGAATGACAAATGATGAGGCGGCGAATAACTGTAGAAACTGAACGTTCAATGAGGCGAACTTGCGCCCAAAACAATATATAAAAAGGTTAGCGTCGCAGGCGTTGATGTAGGCGAAACAGCAGGGTCGAGCGCTGGGGCGAAACTAACTCCGCTCGCCGTTTGGAGTCCATTATGTACGCGCGTTGGTTGCGGAACATTCGGCGTAAAACTTTCGGCGCGTAGACAATTCAAAACTCCGTCAAACGTGAATGCTCTCGAACTCACGAGAACGCAAATTTGAAAGAATAAATAAAAGACCGTTCCACTGACTGAAATCGAACTATAGTCCTTCCGCGCGACAGTCTAGCGCGGTAACCATTCGACCACGCACGCGCTCGTTCGGCGACACGCGTGGCAATAGGGAGTTTTAGAATAGCGCACGCTAAAGCTTTGCGCACGCAAAGAATAGCGTCGTCGCCACTGCGCATGCTCCGAACGCAAACCAGGTGTTGCGCTTTGCGTGCGCAATTTTAGCGCGCGCTATTTCTCGGAAATAGCGTGCGTACGCAAAGATTCTTTGCGCTTCTCCAAGGAGGATTCGTGATGAGAAGTTGGCTAAAGCCAAGACGAGCACAGTTAAAAAAAATGGCGGCTTCCAGGATTATGTCGGCGGCTGTTTTGGCGGCGTCGTGAGTTCGACGTCGGCGGCATCCTCGCGACTGCAATTTTCAATACGGGA